ACAATTTTCACACAATATGATGCAAAAAATCTGCATTCTTGTTGTTGTTGAGAAAACAAAGTATTCCATTATCAATAATGTATATCATTTGAGGATTTATATCATTCTCTGATACACTATTTGTTTGTACACACCTGTTGTTTACTGTAAATGATTAAAACAAAAAACAACAATTAACACCATTCAATGAAAATATTTAATCAATTACATTTTTAAATTCACTTGGCGTTGTTTGCTTGTATCTTCCCTTTGTTGTTTATACTTTCGTCATTGCACCTGTCCAATTACCAAGTATAAATTTTATTTCTTTCTATAACTTGATTTTATAGTTACTGACAGCATTATCAATTTTGCACAAAATACTCTGTTATCTAATATCATTAGTTGTAATAATTAAGGAATGTATGATTTATGAATTTGATTATTGTTATAATTTATTTTAATAATTATTTGCAATAGTTTCTTTCATTTGATTTTTCATATTCAGGATAAAGTTCTGATCAACCTTTGTTGGAATGCTTACATACTCAAAGAATTGTATCTATATTACTTTAAAGTGTAAGATCATTAGTATAATTTATTCTGAATATAATCATGAATATCTAGTCCTATTCGGAACATTGCATTATCGAAATTTAAATGAGTGTCCGTAAAAAACAAAATCCTGTCCTGAACATCAGCTATCAGATTATGCAAATTTGTATATGGACACACTTGCTGAAGAAGCAAATTGCCTTCGTAACTGATTAACTTATTAGATATGTTTTTAACATCTGAGGTGATAGGTAGTAAGTTTGAAATGCAAGTACATTCATTCAATGAGTCACAAATAGGTTCAGATCGAAGTCCTGAATTAGATTGCTAGCTGCAATCCAAGTAAATTTACATCTTTTTTGTCTATGACTTAGATGAGATTAATAAACCTACATTTTTTCACTACTTCTAGACAATTTGATTAGTCCAGGATAGATGTACATTTCATTCTATTTCAAACTCGTATTTGGTTCGTGATATTATGCAAATTTCAGAATAACGTCGTCTAACAAAACCCTGGAAATCCCTAATATATAAAGTCAAGTTTATCTAAGTCAACGTTGAGTATCTATAATGATACTGAATGACTATTGAGTTATTTGTTGAATTTAAAAACTTGTTCAATTCTATTTCTTTTCAATCTTTAAGAAATTGATAAACTCTGCGAAATTTGAATCTGTCCCTACAACTTTTAAATTCACAGACGTTGCATAGACATACGAAAACGAACTTTAATTTAATGAATGTAACTTTCTAGTTTACTACTGTTGTATGAGTAACGTTCCAAAATACCAGTCAAACAATTTATTTTCCCAGTATAGGGTTGTGGAGATTGTTGAGTTTCAATAGATATCATGAATGGATAAATTTTAGACCGCCACTGAAAACCTGGGAGCACTGGACAGTAGTTTCGTCATAGTATGCGAATCCTCAGCAGTGCGCACCCACAATCCAGCATGCAGGATTCGAACCTTCGATCTCGCAGGCTAGCGCTTAAAGTTTAGACCACTAAGCCAGTATCCAACGGTGTTAATATCTAACTTCAAACAATCCATGATATTGCACGGCCGTCTACCATTGTATTCAAAGAGTAACTACCTCACAACAGACGCGATTGAACTCCACAACCCTATATTGATAATTATCATATACTCACTTGTAACTGGCTTCAAGTTGAGTTTACTGGAATTCTAGCGAGAAGCCGTGACCAGTGGCATTTATTTTTTGCTAATATTTGCAGCATAATTTATACTCGTAATACAGTAACTGAATTGAATCCCTAATATAACCTGTATTACATTGCTTTTCTCAGATTACATGGAACTAAAATGATCCAACCGATACAAAATGTACGACAGGCTTATTTCCTGAATACTGAGGTAATTTCTGAGGTCTCTACTTTGCATCAGCTTAAATTACATTCAAGTGATTAGTGTAGATGTGAATTAGAAATGTCTAGGATATTTTGTTCACAAGTTTTAAAATCCTGTTTAAGAAAACTTTGAGCTCCGCATCGTATCATCAGCAGGAGCAGTGAAGAGGACAATTATTTCGTTAGCGGTGATATCAGTCTGCATTTTGTTATTGGTTGTGTCTGCTACCTTAATCTCAAGGGCAACTTCACTGAACCTGTCCGTAAAGATATTTCAACCATTCTATCGTGTTCCCCAATACTTTCTACCTGAATTTCTTCAGGTGGATGGCAACAGAACAAAGTGGTTAAACCATTTAAGAATTCGATGCAATTTCTCACAACTGAGAATCAAACTTCCATATAGTAATGACTTTAGCAAACATAGAGTCACGGTATCGATTAGTGTATATTTTTCAGCCGGATATTTTTCCCAAGTTTAGTTAAATTAGACTTGAGCCTTCATCAAGTGTATTATCACCAAAACCCATTAAAAATTGTTTAGCCAGTTTATTTTTGTGTGTTGCTCTTTAGAAGGGATCAGTCCCAAGATCTGGAGAACAAAGATTCCATCATAATTATCAACATAATTCCAGATAAATGTAAAACCCAATATTATTATGCATGCGAACTGCTGAGGACTCCCACAATATGACAAAACGGCCGTGTAGTGGTTCCAGGTTTTTCATGATCTCAACTGTTAAAAATAATTTTATCAATCACGTTATCGTACCCATACGATTTATAACATAACATGCATAACAGAAATTTTTGAACACATTTATTATATACAATGAAATGTAGATTATTTTGTTTGTTTTATATTTAGCAAAATGTGTTTGTATACTGATTTTATTTCAACAATAAATTATCAATATAAAAATGAATTAATGATAAGCGAAACTCATTGTAAATATCGTCTGCTCAAATGGGCGGGCGGTAATAGCAGTTGCGGAGGAACCATAAAAAGAGGGTAAATTCTTTGTCTATTTTGAAAAAAATACAATGAAGTTGCACTTTCACTACTGTGATAATTGTGTATATGTGTATTAATTAATTTTTAAAATCTTTGTATATCTTGTAAGCATTTGTAAGCATAAAATGAGAGTAAAGGGCAAAATATAGATTTAAATATCCTTGTCCCATAATAGGACGAAACGGACGTTCAGTGCTTCTGGGTTTTCCATGGTGGTCTAGCTCCAATTGGTTCATGATCTGAACTATTAAAATATCTTAGTATTAATAAATATGTTTGATGTAGAAAATATGTTTAAATTTGAAAAAAATTTTATACATACAAGCAAGAATATTTTTATATAATGGAGATTACACTGACTAGGCTTATTACTTCTACATTTTAACTCTTAAAAACATAAACTGTGTCTTCTATTGAGGAGTAACAGACGTAAGTAAGTATGTCTTCTATCACTGACAATATATGTAAGATAGAATGTAAGTTTCTCTACATTGTTTAGGTAGTACATAATCCGAGACAAGTGGGATACTAATAATTTATTTGGTTATTTGAAGGAAAGGGAATAAATTTTGTTTGTGTTTACAGTTGATTAATATGATATTTAAAACATGATTCATATTGTAGACAAGTGGCTTCACTTAAAAAGTGTTTTTTTCTAATTCATATTCATGTTAAATGTTTGTAGTAGGTAAATAGAATGTTTTTAATATGGGAAATATTCTAAGACGTTTTTTCTATTAAAATTTGCTTTAAAGCGCGAAAATTGACAAATTCTTTTCCTGGATATTAGAATTCAAACCTTTTCAAAGTGTTGCCATCGAGCTATATCAGAGATAAATGCCTTTAGGTGAAAATCCTAAATGTATATTACTCGGTCTGTGATTTTCAACACAGTTCTAAGTGATGATCAAATCCTACCGGTACATGTTGTGTTGCATTAACTAATACTATGAATTTTGAATCGATGGGAGCCTAAATCCATTCAGTGAAATCAGTTGTTGACAACTAACCAAACAAAATCAATGATGGTGATGGAAAACTTTCAAAACACCATCAATTCTTCTCCAGTTTCCTGGTGAAAATGAAGCAAATGTTTTCAGTCAACAGCAAAGTATGAATACCGAGCCAAGTACAGAAGACAAATATCAGCTTTTTATTCATCCTAATCTGTTCATACTTCATATGGCTGAGGATGCGGTCTAGACATTTCAAAGACAACTGATACAACAGATCATGATTATTTGAGCAAAAGGTAACAGTTTGAGTTATTCTATGACTGTACTTAACTTCAAGCAGAAACTCGAAGAATTCTTTGAAGAAGCTCCGATTAGTAGAGTTGAACTTTGTCATCTATGAGACAATTATCACTGAATATTATAAACTATCTAAACATATTAACATACATCTCTGAACGTCAAATTAGTGTTCTGAATCGCAAGTGAAAGCACTATGTTCAATGTTTAGTGTTGTTGTGAATGATCACCAAATAAGTATCTTATATTGGAATGAAACAACTGTTCATTGCTTCACAGCACTCAGTGTTTATTTATCTAAAGTTGAAACGCGGTATGAACTACAAATAGAGCAATTTCCTCAAACGTTTCATATTAACACTATTTGTACTGATTAACTAGTATATTTAAAAGTGTTTGCAGCAAAACCTAGTTATTATATATTATTATTATACATTTCATTATATATTTTCGAGGTCAATTGTTTTAATCTTTAATGTTCGTTTACCTAACGGCTTGCATCATCATTTCGCCTTTAGTAAGCAGTCATCATTCACTGTATAATTCATTTCTTTTGTAGTACGAACAATCGCTTAGGGGTCAAAGCATTCGACTACAAACCACTAAGTCACAGGTTCGATTCCTCCTTTTCACACTTCTATTTGATTAGACGAATAATATTATGAACCCCTTACACTTGAAGTGTTTCTCATGCCCAATTAATTTCAACTTTGAAATTTTTTCATGCACCTTGACGTTTGATAAAAATACTTACAACACTCTGATCACTATTAACCAAGAAATTTCGAATAATTAAATCAACTATTTTTAAAAATTAAACAAAACGCTAAACATTCAATGTTATCAATGCTGGTACAGATAAACAGTTATTCTCATCTGTCGATTGAATTTTCAATATCACTGGATATTTGACCGATTCTGACAGATTAATTATTGACTTGGTAACATTCGCACTTGATATACGCTTCATTTCAATTCCATTGATTGACAACTATGGTAAAAAGAAAGGACAATTAGAAATCCTACAATAAAATGCTATGATAATTATCAAACAGTAACATTTAGATTTAAGAATAGCTCTGTAAATTAATAATTTAGAAAACCTGGAGAGCGACTCGAAGTGAAATCCATCATTAGTCTACGGTAGCACTTCGGGCTCATCACGTGGATGTATTCGCATCCAATTGTTGGTTTTTCTACTAAAACTAAAACCTAGTACTCATCGCATTAAACCACAACGCGTTGTCGATTTGCATGAACTAAAATAATTAGAGTGATATCCAAAACGTATAGTAACCGAATAATATATATAAATAAACGTTTTGATTTACATCAACAACCTCTCAACGAAAACAAAATTTTGTTCTTTATTTCTTCAAATAAAAAAAAACAAACGTATTATTTAAAGCAATTAGCCCCTTTTATAAATTTCGATAGAACAATGAGAAGACGGAGTTGATCTGAAAAATGTGATGTATTTGCGTTATACATTTCGAACAATCTGGTCACACATATACTTGTCAGAGCATTTTATATAAAAATTTTATAAAGGTCAATTACATGAAAGTTAAAGAACAAACAAACAAACAAAATTAACAAAGGGGAGACAAAGAATAAGAAATTGACTCATTATCCTAGGCCATAGAATGACTCAAGGATTACCAAGGTAAATTCAAGGTTACGACAAATTGTTTTTGTACACATAAAGGGGGCTTAAATTTACGAATAGCCAAGGCTTCATAAACTTAAGAATTCGTCCTTGACAATTTCTATACAACGTTTTAAAAGTTGCGTTAATATCAATTTTGTGCCCCATTTCAATTATATGCTTCGCTATCGATGACCCTGGTTTTCTACCACCCACATTGATCGGATCGCTTGACACACATTGATTTTGAAGCCATTTCGGCACATGTTCATTGACCCTTGATTGCATTGTTCGATTACTCCTCCCTATGTATGTGTGTCCACACAAACATGTAAATTGGTAAATACAATCGGATGTGACGTAATCATTGGTGCATTGTCTGGGTCTACTAGGAATCATGGCCTTGGACTTTTCAATCACAATCAATTGAGCAGCATAATAGGTATTCTCGATCGCTGCTTTCAATCTCTGTCTTAAAACTATGCTATTAGATTCACCTCTGTATGGTAGATTGCTATAAACTTTTTTCTTTGGGACCGAATAAACAAGTGGTCTTGGCATTAACTGACTTTTGCACCTATTAATAAACTTTAATGGATATCCTTTGCTATTAATGTGTCAGTCAGTAACTTTTCACCTTTTTCCACCGTGTCAGATGTACAAATCCTTTGAGTCCTTTTAAAGAGACACTTAACCAAGTCTCGTTTGTATTGCAATGGACAAAAACTATGGAAATTTAAGTATTGTCCCGTCCAGGTAGGTTTCCTATACACTGACCGTCTAATAGTACCATCATCCCTTCCACTTAAAAGTATGTCTAAAAAGCCAATTTGCCATTACTTTCTGCTTCATGTGTCATCACGATATCATCTTGAACACTATTGAGTTTATCCAATAATCCGTAAACGTCAAAATCATTATCACATATAATTAGAATATCGTCCATGTATCTTCTATATAAAGTTACCTCACTAATAAGCTCACTCGTCCTGTTTTCTACATATGACATGAATACATCAGCTAGGAGAGGCCCCAAAGGGCTACCCATAGCCGAAAATATTCACCATCGAACGTGAATTGAACATTAGCAGTACATAATAAAAATAATTCTTTCAACAATGGTAACGGAATAGGAAAAAGGGAAAATTTTTTAGAAATGTAGTCACAAAGGAAATCCACCGTCTTTGTTAACGGAACATTCGTGAAGAGAGAGTTTACATCAAAAGAATACAAAGACTTATCTTTAAAGTTAATGTCCCCAAGAAGATCAATTAGTTCAAATGTATCTTGTAAGGAAAACTTACATAGTTTAATACGTTTAAAACGTTGTATAGAAATTGTCAAGGACGAATTCTTAAGTTTATTATCAGTGGCTTTTTTATTATTTCATGTCTTTTATTAACACTTACAACATATCCAGTAATTGTAGAAAGTGTTGTCTCCTTAGAATTAATTGACTCTGGTTTATCCCATGATATTAACCATGTATTATCCAACGTAACTAAAGTTGCTTCAAGATTTCTTGGTCCAGAATTATCTTGTGAATTAAGCACTGATGATATTGTATTGATTGAGAGTGGTTCATTAGTTTCTGTGTACTTAAAATAAAAAACAGTTCTCATCATTTTCCAAATTTACATAACGTACAAAGTCATCTACTTTTGAAATTTCAAAACCAATTTAATCATGTTATCATTTATTAAATTATCTCTAGATGATATAATTATTTTGATTGTACAATTAAAGCTTCAATTGTAGTTTATAAAACAGTCAAATCATGTTGTAGAGCATGTTTGAAATTTAACTATAAGGGTTATTCAGAAGAGGGGTGATAATCAGATTTTATCTAACGGAGCGATTCGAAGTAATCGACAGGAAACCCTGATTAGCCAAAGTTTCGTATTGTTTAATGCTCGTTAGCAATGCCTACCTTTTATCTGAAGGAAACCGATACTCCCTTGAGAATTCGACCACATGTCACCAAGCTTAACAGTTTAAGATCTTACTAGTGAGATATCAGGGCCGCGACTGACCCTCTGTACGATTATGACTGAGTAGTGACCAATATCATATATATATATATATATATATATATATATATATATATATATATGCCAAGTTCTTCTAGATACTGATCGAATTCTATCAATAAAACCGGCCAGGGAGCGTTATTCATCTCACAATTACACATATCCTTTGCTGACGTGTACCAACTAACATGACACCAATATCCAGGGTTTCCTGTCGACTACCTCTTGTGACTTAATACATATATATTTTTGCAATTTCAATATCATCTATACAGCGGCAATTTATTTGAGTAACTTTTACCAACGTCATACTCGTGATGAATCAACAACACTCTAGAGTTCCCCAAGATGACATTACTATGTCTAAATTTTAATTGTGTTCTGAAAAGCCTCTTCACAGTATATTTTATTGTTAATTAAAACTGTACATTTCTAAAGCTTTAAAGCAACTCCTGTTTACAGTAATATCAGCATATCTTTTCTTCAGATTTTTCTGTGAAAGTAGGTAGGCGTAAGGGATTGAAAGAGAGGATAACAGATACAAAATCAATACCATGGTGGCTTTTAAAATAATGAGCTTACAATGAACGTTGACTTGCTTTGTGCTTTACAGAGATGAATATTGTTGAACTTTTTAAACTTTTTTTTCACAGACTGAGAGTGTTGAACCTTCCTGAAACGTGACGACAACTAACATGAAATGAAATTGTTGTCACCGATCAGTTGAATCTCATCAATTAACTTCATTTTTTCCTACCTATCATGTAATTACCCATTAACACATTTCTATTACAAGTATTACAATTTGCAGATACATCATCAAACTAGTCACTCATACTTTCCAACATTCTGAATTATGATGTTCGTTTTCCTTATCTCTTTCTAATGATTCACTGTACTATGTGAAACGTTTTTAATGACTGTCCCCAGCTAATGAGAAATATCTGTAAATAGAGTGATAAATCTAATGTTTTTGGCAAACAATGTTTTCGCTTGTTTTTCACTGCCTAAAAATTATTAGACGATAAATTTCCACAACTTTCAATGTTTAAAAGATACGTTATCTAAGAATAAAATTAATTTATTATAAGATAACTGGTGATGTGTCCTTCAATAAGTAAATATGTGAACCAATTCATATTATTAACAAGTAACAGTATGGAATTGAAGAGATGTTGAGTTTTAATTAAAATCATGAACCAATCGTTGTTGAACCGGCAAGAGAAACATAGAAAAACCGGATGGCAGTTTTACCGTGGTACAAGACCTTTCAGCAATTCACATCCACGATCCTGCATGCGGAATTCGATTCCAGGACCCCTGGTTTCTCGCGCGAACACAGCCTCTAGACCACTGGCCCGGCATCCGGTGGTGTTAATATCTGACTTCAACCAATCCACGATATTGCCCAACCATCTTTCACCAGTTAGTTTTCTTAATAAGCAGAATACACCTATTGAAACATTAAATAAGAAAGATTAGTTCAGCGAAGAGTTCTCTTTTCGGCGAATTGTACAGCTTTGAAAATGAATTCGCCGAAAAGAGAACTCTTCGCTGAACTAATCCTTTTTAAGTAATTTTCTGTCCGATTAGTTAGAATGCGCTACAGCGACATATTCATGATAGACATGTGAATGACTTTAAATGATTGAAAAGAAATCCTGAATGAAAATGGTGTTTTATATAGAGTACAAACCCAATAAATGAAAGAGAAAAATACTTAGAGATGGTGGGTATTTCATTTTTATTGAACTTTGAAAAATGGATTTTTATTTTCACACCACTTAAACGTTTTGCCTAAATTTCATAAGAATGACGTTTAAAATCCATATAGACTGGTTGTTTGGATAATCCAATCGGTCTTGAGGACTGCAAATGATCAACCTCCTTTGACATACGTGCATTCTCGATCAATATATATGAAATAAAATTCATCCAATTGTACAAGCTAGTAGCTATCTGGACTAATATAACAGCTAAGTGGATACGTGATGGTAGTTGGAGCGAACGGCACTAGATCCGAGTCTCGGAGTGCTCGTCAACTCCAGGATGCAGATGCATTCAGCTGATGAGAATCAAATAGCACGAATAGTACGTCATGGATTCCACTGCTAGTTACCATTTATCTCTGCTTACATTTAAGATGTTTTAACATTTGAATATTTGTGATTGTTGAAATATAATAGAAACACTAAATGTATTTCACAGTTTAAACCACTAAATTATCTAAGACAACTATAGGAAATCAATAAACACTAACATAGGTGCTTCACCATGTTGTGAGACTTTTCGACAGTACACACTTACAATTACATCAGAGATCAAACCCATGACATTCATACATCTCTTTGACAGCTTAATCTTTGATCCACTGAGTTGATAAACGATGGTTTATATTTCTTCAGTTACTTCATCAAATACCTTTGTTAACAAACCATTTTAAATAATAAATCTAATCACTGGAATTATGCCATGATTTATAAAAATGAATAATTTTCAACTTTCTAGTCATAAACAATTTCCAATTACTTTATCACTGAATAATTTAAGATTATTATTATTCCTTGACTGAGTATCTTCCTGATTTTCAGTATCTTCTGACATAGTTCGTTGTTGAACTGGATATTGTCCTTGTCTTTTTCGTTGAGGGTGATTGTTATGATTATAGCGATGATGAAATGGGTTGTCTAGTAAGGATTCACCTTTCGTTGAAGTAATGTTTTCATTAAATTTATTGAGCATCAGCTGCTCACTTAGGTAAAATACCAGTGTTTGTACTTGAGCAATCTACATTATTTTAAATGAGTAAAATGGTTGGAGAAAATATTTCGAATGACATTTAATAATTGAATTAATGAAAGAACACAAATATATATACAAATATTAATTTCACGGGGTATTTCATACAGCGACTGGTCATTATTTTGAAAAGATCTTTCAAATGAGTTGCTTTACAAGTACTGTATACCAGGTTTGTGAAAGTGCTATAGGTGGATAACTACCTGTCACTTCACTCAAACTCCGGAAGTTACCTCTTGAATTTATTCTCTGGTGAATGACTTGATGGATGCTTTTTCTGTGCATAAGATTTCTGTATATTGTTGGTCATAAAGTTATTTTATGTTTGCATGTAATCAAGGATTTATTGTTATATTCATAGGAGGAAGTATCTAATGGTGTGTTCTTTACAACGTTCTACTCCTTGTAATTATTTTTACATTAGTAAATCAAAAATGAAATAGATTTGTTTGGTCATTTATTTGATCCTTTTTTAATCCTGTCAAAGAGTACTTGAGGAAAGCAAAATGGTTGTATTCATTACTTCCAAATTGTCAATGATACACTAGTTTTGATCAGTCAGTTATCAATGGTATCTGAAAATCTATAAAGACATATTTTCAACCAGTTGAGATTTTCTAAGATTTGTCTGCATGCGATGCTATAAACATTTATCATACTTTTAAAGGTTAAATAACGAGCTTGTCTTAGCTGAACCAACTGCCTTGAAGCAGTGGACGGGTGATTCATTCACGTATGCGTTTCCTCAGCTGTGCTTATTTACTGCCACTCATTCGACAATAAAACTCGGGATTTTTGGTCTCTCGTTTGAACATTTAATCTACAGACCATTGAACAAAAAAATCCGACTGTGTACATCTGTAACTTCAGTCAGTTCACAATTTTCTCACTGAATACCAGTTTAGGAAGTACTTTTGAAATCATAGTGAGAAGTGCTTGGAGTGAATTATTTATCATTTATGACAATGTATATCGGTTGTACAATAATAAAAGCTGACTGAAGAACGAAATTCAAACCATTTTACGTTTACACAGTGGTCTAACGTTGATTTTGAAGAGAGTAAGAACAAAGGTTCCAGCAGAATAGAATGAATTCATTTTATTTGGTTTGATTCTTATCAGCTGCTTACAACCTGTGATATTTAAAAACATAATTAGAAATTGGGTTTAAATTACTTACATGAAAGAGTTTGGTTGGAAGTTATGTTGAAGACACGTTATTATAGAATAGCAAGAGTGTAAATTAATTTTATAGACTTAAGATCGTAAATATATACCTTATGTAAAAGAACATTCTACAACATTGATTGTGACAAGAGTCCAAACGGCCAGAAACGAATGTTTACACAATGAGTAAACGCTGATAGGAATAAAATGGGTAAAGCTCAGTAAATAAAATAAGGTTACTAATCTGGAGGACAATCGAAATAAAAGCACAATGATGTAGTAAATGTAAGAATGAGTTAAATTAAGGTTTTAACATGCAATGAAGGAATATTTGTCACCAAGGCAAAGAAAGATCAATCACCATCTGTTTTTGAACAAATAAATCAGTTTTTGATGCCTGAAAGCAACAGCTTCAGCAAACTTCAGAAGACTGGAGATTGGCTGTTCATTAATCACCTTGAAAGATTGTGATGTATTGACCTGATGTCTTATATCCAACAGATTTCTGGTAATTGCATGATTTAGAGTCGTTGTTTCGCTTGTTTCAAGGATTTTTGGAACATGCTCAAAAAATCTAAGATATGCCTTCCTTTCTGTTTGGCCAATTTAGCTGCTTTGGCAGATACACAGTTGACGGTAACATGAAATAATTGCTTGTATTCCATTGATTGGGTTGTTGAACATGTTGTTTCAAACAGAATTATTAGTTTGGCTGCTAAGTTTTATATAATGCAGTGTTAAGATTCCTGTTGATTGTGCTTGCCTGTTGTGAAAAGCTGACGAGACCCAATCCAAATAAAATGGATTCATGCTATTCTGCTAGAATCTTTGTTCTTATTCTCTTCAAAATGATAAATGGATGTATGTGTTTGAAATTTCTTAAATAACGGTGATTTGTTAAATGAATAACTGAGTTGTGAGTCTTTACATTTAGAGAATTATAAAACAAAATCCAAGACAAAACAACTATTAATGATTACTGTGATTTCATCATTTACCCGAATAAGTTTAGTCTAGAATGCAAATATTCATCAAATGTGAAAATTTTCCACGAAAACTCCATTCACATATTGTATTACAATCTTTAGGTTGTATTTTTCATTCACAAGGATCATCAACCATGTATATTTACTGATAAAGAAATCTAATTTCAAAGAAACTTACGTCTTTCTGCTGTTCTAAAATAATATTCTCCTTCTTTAAATTGTTCATTTTTAAATAATCTTCCATATTCATATCTAATGTATCCGTACTCACTGATTTAACTTGGAGTGAAATAGGATTTTGTATTCTGTGTACATCGGAATAGTTATTAAAATGATAGCTGATCAATTATGGGTTAGTTATTTGTATAGATTGATTACAGTAAATAAACATTTTTTAGATCTCATAAACATTATTTGTTTACTGAAAACTAAATATTATTGAAGTTATTATGGTTAAAAACGTACGTATTTGGCACAGTTACTCAATTTAACGTTTATTCATTTAGAATGGTCAGCTCTCACAGTTATTGTTGTGGAAATCCAGTAAACACGTCAAAAAAAAGCCGAAAAATGTTCTGAAAACGCTGAGAAACATCTTGCTCAATCAACATTCAATAGACTTTTGCCAGAAACATCTAGAAAGTGAAAGGTTACATGTCGCGTTCCTGATTGGATGATTACCTATAATGCTACTATATTCCAGAAATTTCCGGAAGCCCAAAGCCATCTTAAATACTATGAATACCCTAGATTTTCTGTACATAAACGAACCTTTGGAGTTTCTCTGATATTTCGCTCCTTTTCTCTTGTGTTCATGTCGCTGTGCAGATTTAGCTAGGGGGTTACTATAAGAGCATATGAATCCGAACCTAGCCTTCAATTAGAAGACTTATCAGTTATAGTTGTGTATTATAATATGAAAAACATCAGTTAGATGTTGAAAAAACCGTTTATTATTAAATTGATGTAGTCTCTTCAAAATCAAAGTATATAAGTCTCAATCGATCAAAAACTTACACTTAATTAGCTGTTCATTGGTTACTTGATTGTATAGCAAAACTGTTTCCGTTAATTATGTAATTAAGGTGATGTATTGGGATACGATGTAGTTTGTTTTTTTGTTCCCATAATTACGTGTCATGGGAAAAAAACTGGGAAAGTATCGGTATTTATGAACACTTATCTGACCTCCTGTTGTTCAAATTAGAAATTTTGCAGGTGGGGTTATTTCTAGTGCCCACTAATTGTGTGAAATAATTTCACTTACATAATTAATCAGTTACTCTGTATATAAATGAATTCGATGAGATTTTCTTGAGATTTCATTAACTAGAAATATATGTGCCATATATGATATGCCTGACTCTCTAGGAAAGAGTAAGTAAACTATTGAGCATTTAGCTATATAATGTTAATGGTTATAAAAATAGTCTCTTGAAATAAAGGGCATTTATGGGCCATATGTTTTTTAATACAATATGCTTCAGAAATTTTGTTGATTTGTTGATAACCGTTTTTTGAATTCGGCATTTAATTTTGCGAATGTTTGCCGAATCGTAACAGGTAGAAATTCAACAAACTTTAACGAGATAAACTAGTAAAACTAATATCTATTTAAACTAACAATGATTGCAACACAAATAATACTCAGACATTCAACTTGACACTATTCAATAAGTTTATATATAGTCAGTTAACGGTGTAAAATTTAACTTTTACTGTGATTGGTATATTCAAATATTTTTTCACAGTCGGTATGTCAAATTCCTGATAAAATAATATCTTAATACAATGAACATCATGTCATTTAATGATCGATTTTCTATATGAAAGAAAAAAATAAGAGAATAGCATCAGAGTAAATGTATTCTTTCAAATAATTTACTATTGAAGAGTCTAGGCTTCGTACAATAAGCAACAGTTCACTTAACGTTAGTAAAAAGTGAAGCAATAAACTTACTAACGGACTTAACATTGTTGATGTTATTGCATCTATAATTCATGTTACTATAAAAAGTATACCGGCAAATTATAATTACTTGATAGAGGTAAAATCTGGATTAAATGTCATTTAACCTAGGATATTTCATGCTTAATCCATGTACAATAATACGTTTTTAGTATCATAAAATAAAACATACTTCTAAACTTAACATAAGAAACAAATCATCTACATACTATTGTTGTCTCACAATAGAAATTAAAATGTAACGACAAATTTAAATTAGCCGGTATAATTGTTAAATGTTAATAATAAATAATAATTAACATTGATTATTTAACAGAATAATTAAATATAACTTGATGGAAATGGGATGAGAAAAATTAAACTTACAACTATTTTACAATACATATGTAACTAGTATTATGTAAATAAATTACGTTATAGGTATTTATGAAGACATCACTACTGAGACACTATACTATTAAATTGATACCAATATAAAACAGTAATGCAAATGAATTAATAAGCTCTATGAATACTTCAGGTGGGTAAGTAATTTCGAAAATCCATATATTATGCCCAGATTGTTTTTGTGCCATTTCTTCATGATTCAAAGTGAGGAAACGCTATTATTGTACAAGTAAATTTCCTATTTAGTCCATTATATAAAATAACAAAAGAAACCACATTTAATAATAGAAATAAAATAAAAATTATTGTTTGTTTGTTTATTTGTTTATTTATTAAAATGAAATGACGACATGTATTTTTGGACGTTAGCAATTTAATAAAAATATTGTCGTTTTTTTCTCATCGAAGCAAAATTTAGTTTGCAAATCATGCACTAATTGAATTCATGTAGATGTGATAGATTTTTCAATTATCATACTTTCTGGATTGTCTTTTTAGCATTATTTTGATTATTGATAACTTTGTCTTGTAGGGTTATTAACTAAAAGTTAAACGTTCATGCGTGAAACCAAAGGTCATAAGTTCGTTTCCTAAGTTTAGGGTTATGAATATGGATAACTGAGGAGTCCTTTACAAGAACAAACGTGGTGTCCAGTACATTGAGACTATTATCAGATCTCTAGCTAGAATCAGTTTAAACTCTAAAACTTCTACAGTTTCCACAAATCCTTCTCCAGTAATATTTACTACGGCTAGAAACGAGGTTAAGGAATTAAAATTGTCCAAACTTGCAGTGGTTTATAGATTTCAAATCATAAACTGATCTTGGTGATATCACTGTTTGAAACCATCATGCACTGAGCACCTACTTCTTTTAGTCTAGGATTCCGAAACACTGCACACACTCAACCCCGCTACATGGAGTAGGGGGCTGAAACTTCAATCTCTCGCCTAACTTTCAAACCACTGAATTGGCATCCACTGGTGTGCATATCTGATTTCAATCTGTTCGTGATACATTGCTATCATTTTCCTTGGCAAAGAGTGGTTAACTGTTTAAAATCTGATATGGTTGATGACTGGTCACACCTTCTCACTACAACTCCAGGAATCAAATCTTGATGCTAGCTGCTAACAAGCACCAATACACGATAGAAAGAAACGAAGTTATATATCTAGATAGAAGAGTCATCATTAAATATCGAAGTAAGAATACTCGACCTTGATAAATAGTATATATACCACCGGGATGAAGGGACTCTATTACAACTAAAGTATAACATATAGAGATACTTTTATGATTATCAGTACCCATAAAAATAAAATTGCAATCAAAAATTGTTCAACCTTCATCTTAAATGTTCAGGTCATCGTAAATATCCAGACAGCCACCGGCTTAAAGGGAAAGTTACCATTTATACGTCACACAAAAGAAAGTCAGTGTAAATGAACAAGTACTTCAATTAAGTTTACAACTAACTGACAAACGAGTAATGTTGATGTCATGTTTCTCTTTTAATATCCTAAAGTATTGATTGAATTTTGTCTATCAAGCTACAAATCAGTTAACAATCTAAAGGCTTGTCACTTAATTAAATTAGTATCTTCTTTATGTTCAGATAAGAGAAAAGATAATTTGTAGAATTAATATTTTTTTATATCTCTGAGTGTAATTTCAGTTCATACACATCTCTTATAATGGGTTGACCAAAATATCATTGTAACTAGTGTTTTTATAAGTGGATTCAGTGATTATTAAATTCACACCACATATTTGTAACACAGTTCACAAGAAATGCATTCCTTTTTAGAAAATTCCTTAAAGCAAGAAAAACACATCAAATCCTTTGTTTCGTGTCACCCTCATATTGAGACATCCAAGAAGTATTTAACTTTCTAATCGATGATAGATTCATGTAAAGAATATTTACTGGGAAAATGGTGTTTTTCATGTTCTCTGTAGTAGAATCATTGTCGTCAACGCAACAATAAACTAATTTTTATAATTTCAATAGTTAGATCATGAGTCAGTTCAAGCTAGACCACTATGGAAAACCTGGAAGCACTGGACGACCGTTTCGTCCTATTACGGGGCTCCTCAGCAGTGCACATCCACGACCCCGCCCGGTGGGATTCGGACCTAGTACCTGCTGGTTCCGAGCGTGAGCAGTTAACCACTAGACCACTGAGCCGGCATACAATGGTGTTAATGTCTAACTTCAATTAATCCACGAAATTGAGCGACACGTCCACCATTGTCTTCAGTGAGTTACTATCTCACAACAGACCTGGTTGAACTACGCTGGTCACTACTTCTCACTAGAAATCCGTTGAAAATGGCATGAACTGCTATTGCCGATTTAATTTGAAGTTTATCCAATTCTACACGGTTGTTAGGAGGTTTCCTTGTGTACCTAATAGGTTCTTTGGCTCCAGTCAAGACTTCTCGAGATGACTCTCCAATATAGAAGGCATCACAATCGATACAGCCTAACTTGTAGACGCAGTTTAGGTTGTATCGATTGTGATGCCTTCTATATTGGAGAGTCATCTCGAGAAGTCTTGACTAGAGCCAAAGAACTTATTAGGTACACAAGGAAACCTCCTAACAACCGTGTAGAATTGGATAAACTTCAAATTAAATCGGCAATAGCAGTTCATGCCATTATCAACGGCCACCAAATTGATTTCAAAAATATCAAAATATTGCAAAATGGTTTTTCCAATTACAAAGAAAGGAGAGTAGCTGAAGCGTTCCATATAATGCTTAATCCTACTTCTCTCAATAGAAAAGAAAGCCTTACCATACATCCTACTTGGACTATCTATACTAGCCATTCAGTCTGCTCTTATTTACAATTTCACATTATCATCTTACAAACTAAACTCTACCCTTTCTCACCATAAATGTCACACAACAATTTTTCATCCTTAAGCAGTACACACACATACATAGACACAAAGTTACATACATATCACTTATGAATCACCTTGACCGAAATGACATGACATTAACTTGTTCAGACCTGTTTTTGATTGATCACATATTATTCTTATTGTTCTTTTGTACTATTTAAACTTGGTTTAGTTTTAATTTGGTTATTTATTCTCTGAAGAAGTGACTTACACCAAGCCACGAAACGTCAGAAAATCTAATTTTTCTACTCATTGGGATATTACAAATACATTATTTATTTATAACAATCTACCCGATCCTCAATCAAATCAAACCTTGGTAATGATACCTACAATAAACCAATTTGTCAAATTTTGAATGGATTTAAACTATATGTACGGATTACTTGCCTTAATTCTCCATAGTACTGATTACCTCGGACAAAAAAGTAACATAGAAGGGCCTCAAATATGGAACTCATAAGCTGAGAGCTCATCACGAGATATCTAGTTTTAGTGTTAGCGTTATGTAGTTATTAGTAACAAAAAACATAACAGAAACCTTTATCCGCAATTAAACCCAAAATATATATAATGTTGCTTTATCGAAACATATCGTAAAACGAATCTGCACTTTCTTAAGTTTTGAAAGACGGATTGACAAAATATTGATAAGATTCATGACATGTTCAATAAACATGACTATTTACCTCTTAATCCGTAGCTTCATTTATCTGGAGCCTATTCTTTATGTTTTGAGCTATACTACTTGTATTTAGTTAGTAGTTTGAGTCTACTTCGTCAATAATGTGGTCAGCATATGCCACTGATATCTGCAACGAATTGCATAACATCTTATATTGAAGATTCATCTTACCATTCTACTTGTAGCACCATTAATTTTATTCTGATTACCCGATCCTTTCCCCAAGTGTACCATTCTTTGAAACCTTTGATCAAAACCTACATTACCTACACTAGTCGTTGATATTTCAACTTTTCACGGCAATGTTCTACTTTTGAAATGTGAAGTTACATGCCTAGTTACCTTTGTAAAGATACCAAATTTTTTGGGTCGTTTTGATGGTCCACTTCCTACTTGAATACAACCCGACCGTTTTAGATTCACGATGTCTATGTTGTTTGCAAGAATAGTAACATATTTCCAGCCATGGTTTCTAGATATTATGCAATACAGTGTCAGCAGCGTAGATATTACTGCTTAAAATTACGACACTGTAATAATACGCAGAACACCTGATAAATATCTGTAATCATCCGACGTTAAATGGCTCAAAGCATAATATAGCTTATTTGAAACTCATCTTTTACACGAACAGAAGTTGGAATTAAGAATTCACATTATGTTTTCTCAGAAAGGTCATTATCACTTACGATTCCTTGGATGATTTCACAATTTCCAAGTGTCTACATGATTTATGCATCATAAGATATGTTTCATCCCCTTCCTCGTGCATTGTTTGTGTCACCGGTCTCGTTCTGTGAATAGTTGACTGTGAATGTGATTCATTTCTGTTAATTGACGGCGGTCGAACATATCTTCTCATTTCCCTCGGAGTACTGATTATCTTGAATAAAATTTGGTAAAATTAGTAACCATGATGTAACTAATGGCTTGCAGCTGAGATTGTTTTGAACATAGATGGTTCGCTATTAAATGATATCAGTTGTGGAATTGCTGAATATTGGGAAACACTGGTCGGATATTTTGTCTTAGTATAAGACAAATCATGAGCGTGTACAAAAAATTCTCTCGAAAATCAAACGAGTGAGCCTCAACTACGTTGCCTTACACATTAATTTTGGAACAATAACTCGGTTTCCGATGGCCAACGATTTTAGTAGCAGTCAATTCATAAAAAATGTCTAGACATTATCATTTCCCAACGACGATACTTATTTTATATAAATAGTAGAAAAACATTTTCTCATAAACTTATAACTTGATAGTATATGTATCTAAACATACATGCGTTTCAGTGACGATATGTAAATATATGTAACCTGTTTAGAACCATACGAATTTGTTTAAAGGCTAGTGGGAATGTACAACTGTCTGAAACATGTTAAACGAACTGAGATTTGAAAGTGTAGCTCAATGGCTATCGGTTACGTGTTGAACTAATCGAGTTAGTCTGGCAGTAACCATTTAGAGCGGCAACTGCAAGGATACTCCAAACTTTCTTCAGAAAGATCTGGGATGAGGAACAGGTACCAAAAGACTGGAAAGAAGGACCTCTAGTCAAAATACCAAAGAAAGGCGATCTCAGCAACTGTGACAACTACAGGGGAATCACTCTTCTTTCAATACCAAGAAAAGTCTTCAACAGGGTATTGTTAAACAGGATGAAGGACTCCGTAGACGCCCAACTTCGAGACCAACAGGCAGGATTCCGTAAGAATAGATCGTGCACAGACCAAATCGCAACTCTACGGATCATTGTGGAACAATCGATTGAATGGAATTCATCACTCTATATCAACTTCATTGACTACGAAAAAGCATTTGATAGCGTGGACAGAACAACCCTATGGAAGCTTCTTCGACACTACGGCGTGCCTCAGAAGATAGTCAATATCATACAGAATTCCTATGATGGATTAAACTGCAAAATCGTGCATGGAGGACAGTTGACAAAGTCGTTCGAAGTAAAGACCGGTGTCAGGCAAGGTTGCTTACTATCACCCTTTCTCTTTCTCCTGATGATCGACTGGATCATGAAGACATCAACATCTGAAGGGAAGCACGGGATACAGTGGATAGCTAGGATGCAATTGGATGATCTAGACTTCGCAGATGATCTGGCTCTTCTATCGCACACACAAAAACAAATGCAGGAGAAGACAACCAGTGTAGCTGCAGCCTCAGCAGCAATAGATCTCAATATACACAAAGGGAAAAGCAAGATTCTCCGATACAACACAGCATGCAATAATCGAATCACACTTGACGGAGAAGCTTTGGAAGATGTAAAAACCTTTACATATTTGGGCAGTATCATCGATGAACACGGTGGATCCGATGCAGATGTGAAGGCACGGATTGGCAAAGCAAGAGCAGCATATTTACAACTGAAGAATATCTGGAACTCAAAACAATTGGCAACCAACACCAAAGTCAGAATTTTCAATACAAATGTCAAGACAGTTCTACTGTATGGGACGGAAACCTGGAAAACTACGAAATCCATCGTCCAGAAGATACAGGTGTTTATTAACAGTTGTCTACGCAAAATACTTCAGATCCGCTGGCCGGACACTATAAGCAACAACCTACTGTGGGAGAGAACAAATCAGATCCCAGTGGAGGAAGAAATCATGAAGAAGCGCTGGAAGTGGATAGGACACACATTGAGGAAAGCACCGAACTGCGTCACAAGACAAGCCCTCATATGGAATCCTCAAGGTCGAAGGAGGAGAGGAAGACCAAAGAATACATTACGTCGAGAAATGGAGATAGACATGAGAAAAATGAACAAGAACTGGATTGAACTAGAAAAGAAGGCCCATGACAGAGTGGGTTAGAGAATGCTGGTCGGCGGCCTATGCTCCATTGGGAGTAACAGGCGTAAGTAAGTAAGTAAGTAATCATTTAGAGCGTAGAAAATCCTAAATGGTCAAGTAGTTTAATCAGACGCCAACTATTTAAGTATATTTATTTAAGCATATAAACCATTTAGTGAGTGGATGATAAAGATTAGTAGGTCACTGTACTTCTTTTTACCTACTACAAAAATATTGTAGAACCTCAAGGAAAATTATATTACTCTATTTAATGCCTCATACCATTAGTCAGCGACTCTCTGGCAGTAAAGGAAAGTTTCTGTAAAGAAATTTGTTTTTAATTCAAGTAATTAAGGAAAACAAATGTATCCGATTCTGTAAACTGTATAATGTTAAACATTGAGCTTTTATATTCGTGGTAGTAAAGGTAACAGTTGTGATTGTTGTTGAACAACAGAAGAAGACTCTACACAACTTAAAATATTGTAATACAATTTACATTAGTAGCTTACTCTAAATTGACTACAACTGAGTAATATACTGTCTTATATTCAAAAGAAGTGCTAAATACTTCAATATGAGCCCAATTCATATGACATGACAAATATTCGATGAAAAGTATACTGATGGCTCAACACTTATATGTAAAATACTATCCGAATGTTTTAGATAGGTAAATGCATCTTACAATGAATCATTAGTTCGTTATCATTGACTTAGTTTAAGTAAGGAAGATTTAATGAATAACCATATAATCCGATGATGTACAAACAGTTTCACGTCTCTCACATATTAGTGGAGGACAGAAACGTAAAAGTTGTTTTGTGATTAGGTCATATAGTTCATAGTATAATTAAAAAATACATATTAATTATTGAAGTTCATCCATATTGAGAGTAAGACAGATATCACACATATTATTGAAATTAGATCACAAAATATTGTATATCGATTAAATCAAGAAAAGAAGAGTTTAAGATACTAACTCTAGTTTTAAGATCGAAATATGTGAAAGCTTGTTCGTCAATCTAGTATAGTGTTTTGGGCGTAAACTGGAAAGTAGTCCTAAACAAAGGTGGAACAACTATCCAGTAAGACATTTTTTTAGTGCTTCTTCATCTGATATAAGTTGGTGGCGAAATCTTCAGATTTTTAAAAATACATAGAAATAAATTGCTACAATTAATCTACTCACTTGTTTTAAGCTCTCAGAATATGCTTTTGTAACGATTCCATCACGTTGCTTTGGATATCTTTCACTGAAATTAGTTCGTTCATCAAGGTGATATGGTATAGGTAGATAATTTTCAATATCGTCATATAAACTAAGTCTTACGAAATTAGACATTGAATTATTCATAAATATTAATTCACCTACTGAGTACTTTACATAGGTTATACTGAAGTACGAAAAATTCTTACGCCATGTTACTGTCATTGTAAATGATTTATTTAAGTGAATCAATAAATGGTTTTACTTATAATACAGGAAAACTATTTAGAAAAAGAATTGATTGGAGCATTTTTATTGGACATAGTACATGCCCTTAAAAGTCGTTCACATAAATCGATTGATTGTCAAGGGAATTGTGCCAAGATTAAAATGGACTCTAAATTAAACTAAATTAATTTATAGAATACTTTTGCGGATATTTACGAGTTAAATGAATATTATTAGCAGATAACAGTCACCTGGATCTTGTAAATACAATTTAGTTTATTCACCTCTATTGTTATTTTATTTTGGCGTTCAATAATTAAACTATTGTCTTCTAACTAAATTATTTGGAAGTTAATTATAACTGAACCCATGTATTACACTAATGTAGTATTACAATTCAAATACCTGTGCAACAGGCCAAACCATTCACAAAATGAATATGAACAAGTTTTTTACTGTGAACACTTTAAACGTTGAATTCGCAATTTCTTCAAGGACTCTAACCTGGAAAGTCGAAAGATCATATTAAATACAGAAAATAGGAGGATTTGTAGGGTTATAGGTGATATTATAGCTGAAGTTTTTAGAGATGGTAAACATAGTTGTAAATTTTGTAATTTTCCATTCAAAAAAGAATTAGTATTTTGAGCTATTTTCTACTTTTCTTAGAAGTAAAGAGGGGTGGTGATTGGGAAAAATAATAACAGCATCTATTCTTATTTCTAGTAAAGTTTCGTACAAATTTTCGAAGACTTGTTTATTTATTTGTTTATTTACTTAATTATTTTCGTCTGTTACCTTACGTCGAGGAGCATAAGCCGCTCATCAGAAATCTTCATCCAAACTTATCCTCGGGAATCCATTCCACTTTTTCCAGTTGCTATTCATCCTTTTCATGTCTGCCTCCAATTCTCGACGCCGTATGTTCTTTGGCCTTCCTCTTTTCCGTTTTCCTTCTGGATTCCAAGTTAGCACTTGCCTCGTGATACAATTTGATGATTTCCTCAATGTGTGTCCTATCCACTTCCAGTGTCTTTCTTAATCTCCTCTTCAGTTGGAACTTGGTTTATTCTCTCCCATAGTAGGCGGTCGCAGATGGTATCCGGCAAACGTAGACATCTCTTTATACATACTTGTACATTCTTGATGATGGTTGTAGTAGTTATCCAAGTTTCAGTTCAGCACAATAGAACTGTCTTGACGTTCGTATTGATGATTCTCACTTTGATATTGGTTGACAGTTGTTTTGAGTTCCATGTAGGAAAGAGACTCTTGCCTTTCCCATCCTTGCCTTCACATCTGCATCAGATTCTTGTCTTTCATAAATGATTCTGTCCAGGTACGTGTAAGTTTCCAACTCTTCCAGAGTTTCTCCACCAAGTTTCATTCGGTCTGTGTTCTCCGTGTTGTATTTGAGGATGTTGCTTTTCTCTTGTGTATGTTGAGGCCCACTGATGCAGAGGCTTCTGCTGCTACACTTAATGTCGTGACCTGCATTTGTTGATGTGCATAAGATAGAAGGGTCAGGTCATTTGCGAAGTCCAAATCCTCTGGTTGCATCCAAGCAGTCCATTTCATTCCGTGCTTCGCGTCAGATGTGTGGGTCTTGACACGTCCTCAGATCAGAACAAGGTTGAAGAGGAATGAAATTATATTCCGAATAACAAGGGTAGATGGAAGTAGAATTTACGTTAATATATTTGTAGTTTATACACGAGAAGATTCTTGAGCCTTCTTGAAGTATCCACTAGCGTTGATTGAATAAGAAATGCACAATAAGAGTGCACCAACACGATCCTGAACAGAAAGTGCTTGAATTTGGTCTATATTCCGATAACACTGTCGAATGCCAACAGCGAAGTTGGTGTATAGTGACGAGTTCCATTCAAATGATTGCTCAACGATGATCCGTTGTGTTATGATTTGGTGCATGCACGACCGATCCTTACGGTATCCGGCCTGTTGATCTCGAAGTTAGGCGTCTACTGAATCTTTTATCCGGTTCAGCAACACTCTGTCGAAAACGATTCCTGATACTAATAGTAGTGTGATACGTCAGTAATTCTCACACTTCCTGAAATCTCGTTCCTTCCAGTCCATCAGTACCTGTCCTTCTTCCTGAATAGAATGTGAAGCATACTTGCAGTTATTTCTGTGTCTGACTTCAGAGCTTCAGCAGGTACATTGTCAGGTCCTGTTGTTTTCTCACTGTTGATAAGTCTAGTAGCCACCCTGATTTCTTCGGCAATTGGTGGAATAACATCTATAAGAATATCTATATGTACTGCTTCAATGTCTGTTGGATTCAATGGAGCTGGAGTAGTTAAGAGTTCCTCAAATTGTTAGACTCATCTGTTTCTGTTTTTTGAATTTCAATGATTGATTTGGCTTGTTTGTTCGTGACCGATCTTTATGGTTTACTATATTTCACAAATGACCTATTTTTTTGTTACTGGTATGCTATAATCACACGAGTCCTGAATTCAGAAAAAAATTGGTTAACTATATGATACTTGGTTAGTCTTCCAGGTCTTCTGATTGATAGTTTTGAGTATGGATTAGAATTTTACATTGACTGTCAATCGAAAGTATAAATGCGAATTAAATGTTTTAGCAGATACAGAACTAGACGATCACAACTATGTAATTATGACACCATAATTCAGTTGGTTTCTGTCAGTCCGTAAGAATCTTTGTGATTGGGTTATAAAGTAATAAATAATCTCCAAAACAACATGTTGATAGCTTGTAATATTTCCTCATATCACATAAGGCTTACTACATTGCAAAAATATTCAAACGATAATTGCAAAACATTTAGAATTGTTATGAGTTTTATACTAGTCAAAAGTTAATCTTCAGAAAACACTGCACTTGAATTTCCAGCATGTTGGAACTCGTCAAAATGATGTATTTGGAACACCTACGGAACTGATGAGTTTCAAAGTTGCTTCACGTAGCGTCACAGCCAGTGGGATTACCAAACTAACCGGTCAGAATTACTTTGTTTTAGTGGTTAACAAGGTCTTTCGATGAATCTGTCCATAAAGAAACCCTGCGAGGTATTGAACCAAGAAAAATGAAATCAAATAATCAGTGCTTAACCACTAGACCGTTGATCTAACATCAGCTGGTTTACTTGTCCAACGTCAATCGATCCAAAATATTACGCAACTATCATCTTATGTGTGAGTGGGCAACTGCCAAACACCCGATATAATCTTTTTACAGTCCACTCATGATTTGTGGTTCGGTACTCAGGTCATTAGGTTTCCTAGCTCTTGATATTCAGAGAAAGTCTTTCGTCAAATTTCTGCTAATTAAATATCACATATAGAACAATCAAATCAGGATACAATACAAATAGAAAATTCCATTGATTATACGTAGTCCAAGCATATTTTGTTATCATCAAATTACCAAGATTCAGTTAATGTTACTTCTTGCCATCGAATACATCGGATATGCAGTACGGAATGCATTGATGAATAACTCACATTCCTCAGCAAAACCTTGACGAAAAATGGCTACCCAGACCATTTCATATAGAAGAATATGAATAAAAGTAGTTGAGACAGGAAATCGATTTGTTCCGTCCCAAAGGAAAACCTCTACATAAGTCAGTAATTTAAAGGAGATCAGACATCTGACGTAATCAAAAATCGTCTAACAACAGCGATTAAAAGAACATTTAATGGGGCAAAACTGCGAATAACCTTTACTAGTAGATTCTTATTTTCTGTATCCATAAACGATAAGCTTCAGCGTCTGGTCGCCTTCATGTGTATCTACCAGTTTACCTGCTCTTGTGGAGCAAAGTACATTGGCCGTAGCCAGCACTCGCTTTCAACTCGGATACGGAAACATGTCCCAGTTTGGTTCCATAAGGGTGAAATCAAATCAATCAGGAGTTCTATGCTTCAACACTTAATCGACTGTAATCATTCTACGGATCCACAGTTTGATCTTAAGTTTGTTTATATGATTTGTTCAAATCTACCTAGATTTTTTTTGTATTCAACTCCTAAAGATAGACGAAGCTCTTACCATCCATGAGCTCAAACCAAAACTATGCGTACAAATGTAGTATGTCTTATCGTTATCGTTATCTTGGCCTTAATTAATATTATTATTATTACTGCATTCCCCTTTAATTATGTCTTATATTCTCATTATATCACCTTATTTATTTTTACACCTCTATGACCAATAATTATTGTAACAAAAACATTTGATCATTCTAATCATCTTATTACATTCACTAAATCTATTGTGGTTATTTGTATTACGTAATCTAATATTGTAATCTTTCTAATACATTATCTTGGTTATTTGTGTTCACATTTCCACACGGAATTAGTACTTTAAGAAAAAAATTCTCATATATATACGATTGTACAGCTTGATAATAAATTCGTTGAAAAGAGATCCCTTCGCTGAACTTTGTGTTTATAATGGTTAGATGGTAATTATCTGTCACTTCTTAAAAAACCATATTTAAATTCTTTTTCACAAACAGTTCTTAAGATAACAGTTATCCCAAATGACAATTGAAATTTACTTTCATTTCTTATTGATCAAAAGAGCAATAAAAACTACATAAAATTTCATGGGAATAAAATTTTTTCCAGTCAACAGATGGTTTCACAGATGATTTTCACTCTTTTTCCTCAAAAAATTCTCACTTAAATCAAGTTTTTATGCGTGTAATTGGAGAAAAATAGACGAAGGAGTTCGGTTATAAGATAAAAACACAAACAATAAATGATCATTGATCGTTGTTTTTTTCACATAAAAATTACTTATGCATACGTAGTCATCACTCGATCAACAATATTTTATTACATTCGACTGATATAATGAAAAGAGTTTGTTCTTCTCCATATTAAAATAATAATATTTAAAAGAACTAACCAGTCTGTAGACAGTTTAAATCTATATAATCATTTATCACTCTATAGCATTCAGTATCTTCACTATTGACGGAATTAAATCGATCAAGTTGGAACTGGCCGGTAAGTTAAGTGACTTAATATTACAATGAACGATTTGGCACGTTGGTTAGTGGGAAGTATTCAAGACAAGAAGTCTTCGACGTTGGTTTTTAACTGATTACTTCGTAGTAAAAAGACTTATCTCACTCTTTAGGCAACTGAAATGAGACTCGAAAATACCCCAGTTGTTATATCCTAGTGAAGATTAAATTAAGAGTAACTTCCGAGAACTATTAATGGACTAATATTATATATATATATATATATATATATATATATATATATATATATATATATATATATATATATATATATATATATATATATATATATATATATATATAGTATAACTACTCGGTAACTAGATTGTGTATGTCTGTACTCATTTTATTATAAGCTTTATTTTGACCTATAGACTATTATAATACGATTTATTATTCCTAAATTATACTCAGTTTATCCATTACAGTCTCCCACGTTCACAGACACTTTTTGGCTTGATCGTGCATAAATGTTATTTCCTATTTTATGGTGTGATGTGGTCTGTTTGGCTGGTATGTAAACCAAGTATGTTTGAAACAAGTAATTCATATAGTGAAAGCTGGTGTTGGTGGGAAAAACGACCAATAAGAATGTTAGGCTGCTCATACCGGTCGAACGTCATTGGTTTGGCACAGTGAGAAGATTGTATTATGTCTGACATCAACTAATCCACGAATTTAACACCGTTAGATGCCGGCCAGCTCTGTCGTCTGGAGGTTAAGCGTTCGTGCGCGACCGATAGTTCCTGGGTTCGAATGTCGCCAAGCGGGATCGTGGGTGCGCATTGCTGAGGAGTCCCACAATGGGACGAAAGGGCCGTTCAATGCTCCCGGGTTTTCACTGGTGGTCTAGCTTCAATTGACTCATGATCTCAACTATTAAAAGTCGGTTATTTTAACTCGTTTTACGATAAGTAAACTTAAGACGAATAAAAATTGGGAAGATAAGATTAACTGCTTTATGTCGGTTGTTTTCATTATTAAATATTATTTATAACGTGCCCTGTATTTTGTTCGGCAGCATATTGACTAATTAAAACAACCAGATAATAACATAACAATTTCCCTCTTTTTTGATTGGTTATCAACAGCTTTACCTATTACCAATAAATAAAGATGATATAAACATTTTGATTATCGAACAGTGATGTGGTTAACTTGTGGAAAAATAAAGATAATTAAATGGATTATTTTTATTGTTCTTATGATAATAAATTTAGATATTCTTTTAAACATAACTTATAGTCGACAACTGGTACGTGAAATCTTAGTCCAGTCATTTTTTCTCATAACAAATTATTGTAGAAACAAAAATCAAACATACAGCTCCAGGATTTCACGGAAACAACAACAATACAGCCTTTTGTAAGTTCACCCAGTGAATTTTGTATTAAATTCCATATAATTATAAAATATTAATGTAAAAGGTTTATGAAGATTTTTGAAAATCAAGAGCAATTTTCATTGTATGATTGTAAAAATTATTGAGTTTTAATTGAAATCATAAACTGATCAATTTTAGACCATCACTGAATACTTTGGGGCACTGGAAGGCCATTTCGTTCTAGTATGGGACTCCTCAGTAGTGCGCATCCACGACTCTACATGCACGAATCAAACCCAGGGCTTTATGTCCTGTGCGTGACCGCTTGACCTCTGGACCATTGAGCCGGCATCTAACATTGCTAGTGTCTAACTTCAACCGATCCACAATATTGCGCCACCAACTTCCATTATCTTCAGTGGATAACTGTCTCATGCCTGATGCGGTTGAAATCCACAAGTCACCGATAATTTCTTGTCGAAGCTAGTCACTGGTGAGCAAATGACAACTATCCGTCCCATATTAGGACGAAACCACTGTCCAGTGCTTCTAGGTTTTTCAATGGTAGTCTAACATTGATCAGTTCATGGTCTCAAGAAGAATTTAATGAATGTTTTTTTATTCTAGTACGGGAATTCTTAACATAGTGTATCCGCAATTCTATTAAACCCAGATGCTTTAAGTCTCACAGCATTCGTTTTCCATACAAAAAACTAAATATCTATTGTATGATCAGTCATTCTAATTAGTTTATCGAATAAAACTGGATAGTTTTTCATTTCGAATAAAATCGCATGAACTTTAAGATAGTGGATCATCGCATGTGTCTGTTACGAAATCCTTATTTTAATTAATCAGCTCATAATAATCTTCGTCAAAATTTTATAAACTGTTATCTTATGGGATTGAACCAGAGTCACAGTATTGAACATCATTCATTTTATTCAGTCATGTAAGAATAATGAGAATTAATAAGCTGTTAGAAGTTGAAAGTGTTACGTTGATGATTACAAACAGTCAACTCGATTTATTATGACGTTAGTTTGAAAAAAACTCGTATTTAGAGTTACTTACATTCCCAAGTTGAGATAACGTAAAATGGTTAGATTCACTTGTGAAATCTTTCAGTTTGGAAGACAATCTAGCGTTCTGTGTAAAATACATGAATAAATCGGACATTTTAATCAAATGAATACGCTTAGGTAAATATAACATTTTTTATCTCATTTAAAATCCAGTTCATTGGAGTTTTACAATGAATAAAATCGACTTAAAGGGTCAACTGTATTACATTTACTAGAATTACTAGACTTTTTGTGTAGTTTGGGAAATTTCATGATGGACACTACATGATTTTCATATATTTATAGGAGTATAAAAACAAATTACTGAATATGCTAAACGTCAATACTTTTTAAATAGAATATTTAATTTCGCGTCTTTGTGTCATCAACTTATTCATTTATAGGTTACCTATAAAAATGACAGAAATACATAGCATAAAACATAGTGTTTTATAGAGATTTACTTCATTTTTTGCTTCTTTGATCCCTTTCCAATTGTCCTCCATATCAGTTTCCTCTTCGTTGAGTAGATCTGATAAGTCTTGGGACCTGTTGTTGAGAGTTACCTTGAATTCGTTGAGTTTGGCAGTCTGTCGATGAAAGCCCGTATTGAACCTTTGTAATGCTGTTTGTCCACTTGTCCAGCATTTGTTTAGCTCCACTCTCATCTTGGCCACAACCAAGTGGTGATTTGAAGATATGACAGCTCCTCTCCTCGTTCTCACGTCCTCCGTTGTTCTTCTGAAATTTTTATTGATCCAAATATGATCTATCTTGTTCTCTGTGATGTGGTCCGGCGAAACACATGTAGTTTTGTGTATGTATTTGTATGGGAATATTGTGTCGCCTATAACCGATTTGTTGAATGCACATGGATTTGCAAATCTCTCCCCATTTTCGTTTATTTCTCCCATTCAGTCCATGTTGACCCATGATATCTTCATATCTGGTGTTTTACATTCCGACTTTGGCGTTTAGATCTCCCATCAGGATTTCCAGGTCGTTTCCTGAGTACTTTGATATGATGGATTACAGCCTTTCGTAGAACTCATGTTTATCATCTTTGTTACTATCATTGGTGAGTTCATAACATTGGATAACATTCGTCGTGATTCCTTCCTTCTTTGTCTTGAAGGATGCTTTGATGGCAGAGGATCATGAGATTCCCATCTTATAGGTACTATACGTTGTTCTTTGAACAACACAAGTCCAACTCCATGCGTGTGCAGAGCATTTTCATCCTCTTGACCGGCGTACAGCAGCATCTTTCCGAATCTATCTTTTTCCGTCAAGCTCATGTCCAATTGACTGCACTTATTCCGAGATCCGACAATTCGTAACTCCTCGTTTCTATAGCTATTTGAGTGGTCTTCCCAGTCCTCCTTATTGTCCGAACATTCCATGTATCTATATTATTGTTGCTCCGATTGTTAAAAGGGGCATCGGTCTCGTGGTTTCCAAACAATCTTGTTTTTTACAACGAGTCGTCATAATTCGTCTAAAAGAATGTCCTTTAACACACAGGGCAGAGTTTGAACGGCCTAAATTATTTTTTATAGTCAGAGCTTTTTTTTAGCAAAGTTGTTTTCTACGGGATGGTGTCGCCATCCCCCCCACACAACCCTCCTTTACCACAACTTGGGACCATCAGTAACTCTACGTAAAGGAATTTTAGTTGGCCATATATATATTTGGAAGGAAAATCTAGCCTGTTCTTATAATTCAGTTTATGACTTTTCTTTATTTTAAGACCTTTCGATCTTCTTCAGCCCTCTATGTTCTCACAGACAAAATAACTTTATGCAAGGCCATTAGATTCAGTACTGATTTAGTACTTCTGCATTACTTTTCAAAAATTTAATTTGAAGTAGATGCTGATTATACCGTTCAGAAAATTAATCAAAATGTCTCATCAAGCCAGTGAGCTCAATAAAATCAAGACTTTTATAAAAATACAGATTCATGTAAATTTTATCAAATACTAATATGCCTTTAATGTTATAGTAACTCATTTGCTAATACAGGTTGACTCTAATCGATCTGTTGCTCACTACCAACTCGATATGCTCGTAGGCTGTCACATATGATCAAGCGTACATTTTTATACAGACAAGATAGTGATTATAATAATACAACGAAATAGACGGATTGTTGCTATCTGAATAACATTGTCCGTTAAATAAGTTAGAAAAGAAGGGGCTTTACAAAAGTTAACAATAATTGAAACTAATCCTAGGAGTGTTGCTTTAGTAACTCCCCCCTTCAATTAAAGATATATGAAAAAAGGCCTGCGTTTGCACAAAGTATGGTAAACTGAATAGAATAATTACGATTGTTAGAAGATGTCGGCTTATACAAAATTAAGATAAAGCTAATGCGTATGCTAACATTAGTTATGTATATCCGAGTTAACACATGTCTGTGAAGCCAAACAAACAAAATAATGATAAAAAGTAGAAATGGATATTGTGTCATTTTTAAAAGATTATATTCAGGCATGAGGACATCCAAAATATGTCGAGTTTTGTAATATAAAAAATAAGCCTGATAATGCATGCGTACACAACGAAGAAAAAGAAAAAGAATTTAAATTCAAAATAGTGAAAAATTAATATTCTGGCTATATAGCGTTGTGGCCATTCGACCCTTCAGCCATATTTCGTCATTACTGGAGTCTTTTCTCTTTGCTTCATTAATAATAATAAATTTGCGTCGTTAATGTTTGAGACTCGTGTTTCAGAGATATGACTGTCATTGATGGATCTGTACTTTTTGGTTGATGATCATTTTCGATGAAATCCGGTTAACTATAAGTAATGATCTGCTTACCGAAAACAAATCTAGAAGCAGAAATTATTTGATTTCGTGACACACTAAGTGAATAAATCTACTTTCTAGGTAGAAGTCTGTATACTTCTGCCGAGTTTTTAAAATTCACTGATAAGTCAATTCAACACCAACCAAAATTAATTTTACTCACCTACAAACCTCATAGTAGTAAAACGTAATTTTACTGCGATTATTCGGTTCGTTTAAGTAATGATCTCGGTGTTTTGCTAATCAAAGTATACTTTCATACGGTTGAACAATGCAATGACTACAATGCTTCAAAGGTTCCTAAATGGTTAACAGTTTAAATAGTTCTCCATCTATCCTGTTCTCTTGCTTGATGTCGGGATCGGTAAATGTTTCACCCATATATAAGGTGTTATTAGTATTTTGACTCTATAGACAAGTGAAACTTATAATTATCAAATGACATTTCAGCATAACAGAAATAATTGTTACTACGACTTTTTATCAAATAATACTGAAAGACATTACTAAATGTATCAGATTATACTTGTTAAAATCGAGCGATTTGCTTTCAAACCCAGTTATTCGTTTGATGTATGTTATTGATTTATTTAAACACATAAATATTGGTACAAAGGGGCACCAAAAACATATGACGTATGTTGATATTTACAAACGTGGTTTGTAGAGATTTTATACACTCTAGAACTACTTTTGATTAAAAGATAACCTCAACCGAGTGACCAATAAATAATAGATAGTAGTCACTCTCCAGTTGATTCAGGATCTCTCAACAATTCGAAAAGTCGCTTATATATGTGATACAACCTGGAAATTGTGAGTCATACTCGCAAATATTGTAGCCTTAACGACCTGCGTGACAACCAAATTTCAGTAACTACAAAATTTAGCTCTTCCATCCAACAAGTTAGACGAACTTAAGTATACTATATCATCAAATAGATGATGAAACACATTTGTTTTGTGGCACGACAATCATTTAATTTAATGCTCTAGTGTAATACGGGTTACAGCTTGAGCATCCATATACAGAAACCATATACTGTTAGTTATCCACATCAATTAGACTATATGAAGAGTTATGCTTCTAATCTTTAACATCAATATATATATATATATATATATATATATATATATATAAACTTGACAGATATAGCATAGTAAATGGATTATTTTATGCCTTCTCTGTGAATTATTTAGTTTTACTATGACTACAACCGTTTAAGCTAATTTCCGCTGGAAAGTTTAAATAATAACCTTGAACAGGATAATCTGTATTACTTTTAACGAGTGCAACATTCAGCGTATCGTTCCGATTTTTCTTCTACACATGAACGATTTATATGGCTCTAAAAAACTAATAAAACATTTTTATTTATTATTGGTAGTAAACTTTGCGCCATCATATTGGTTTCAATTGATTATTCAGTGTTTAGTTGTACATACGATCAAATACTCAGAATAACTTACAAATAGCATGAATTTTATTTTACGATTATACTTTTAGCCACAAATGGTCATGGAAAATAGTGAATATTGTACAAATCTTACAGAAGACAAAGATATAATCATGGATCTTTTCGAAGAAATTGAAATATCCGTGCTATGCGACTACTTAAAAAGTAACTGTTCATGTTTTTCATTCCGTTCCCTACATATAAGAAATAATATTCCTATTTAACATTTTTATGTCATAAATCATCCGAATCTGGTCTTTGTGATGAGTACTGACTGGGATTCATCCTACGTTTGATACTTCATTGCAGTTGTGGCTAACCAGTTAACAAGAATTTAGTACAGAAAGCTTTAATGAAATAGTTTTCATTGTAGATACTGATGGGAAAAAACGAACTACATACCTAGAATATGAATATATATAGAAACTTTCTGTTTAATGAGATAAACCGCTTGAGACGTAGTTGGAAATTAAGTTCCTTACAACAGACTCACGGTGATTATGTATGTGATTACTATACATTTCCAGAATTGAAAGCTTGAAAATGAAGTGTTCATCGTTATAGCTAAAGACTTATTAAGCCGATTTAAAATGTAAGAAACATTTTCAGTGTTTGAAGGTAGTTATTAGACAACCCTGAATGTTTAAAGCAATTAGTCCCTTTGATAAATTATGATAATGCAATGTGAAGACGAAGGTTATCAGAATTATGTGATACATTTGCGCAATACATTTCGAACAATCTAATCAAACATATACTTGTTAAGACATTTTTATATGAAAAATAGAAGGTTAACTAAACAGGTTAAAGGTAAGTCGTAACAAAGAAAACTGAATATCATTAAACGCACGGCCAATTTTGTATTTTTTTTTAAATTAATAAAGTACACAAAAACAATGTGATAACCACTCTGGATAATAAATCAGTATTACCACGGTAAGTTCAGGGTAAGAACAAATTGTTTTGAACATATAAAGGAGGTTTCAGTTTCCTTATAGCCAAGGCTTCAATAAACCTTAGTATACGTCCTTGAAGGTTTTTGTACAAAACTAAAAAGGTTAACTTGATATCAACCTTATGATCAGTTTCAAGCAAATGTTTCTCTATGGAGGAAAATGTCTGTCTATTCTGTGATCATATTTGACCACTGAAAGTCATTTGTTTCTGCAGCCATTTGGGAATATGTCCCGCTATTCTTAATTGCAGATCACGATTGCTCCTCCCTTTGTATATGTTTCCGCACATACATGTAAACTGATAGACAGAATCGCCTACGTGCTATTTGGGTATTTGGTGAAACATATACGTTGTCTTTTCAATAACGACAAGTGTGATCAGATTTTTTGAAATGTATTGCGCAAATATATCACATGTTTTGATAAACTTCGTCATCTCATTGCATCAGCTTTTAAGTTTGTAAAAAATAGTGAACGTAAACTTGGTCCGATTTCGTACTCAAGTTATTTTCACAAGTGAACTGTGTATAGGTATAACTATTAATAACTTGTAGCACATAATTAAGAAATCAATGAAATCTGTCGTAATTACTAATAGCATTTATCATTTATGTGCTTTTACTTGCTCTTATTCCAGATGAGGTCAGTGCGAAAAAACCGATTTTATTAAATATCAGTGTCTCAGACAACACATTATACGCTCGCGTTCGATTGCACATCGAAAAAGGTGATTGTACAAATCAAACTATTTTCACCAAGTGAGATTCTTTACGAATGCTTGAAAAATAAAACTTATGTAAAATCATGTTTACTAGAAATTTCAACCACTTTAACAAATGATTTTCATATAGTTTGAAGTATTGAACGGAAATTTCCTGAATACATTTTCCACGTTGACCACTATTCAATAAAAAAGCATACATGTAAAGTTAAATTAATCCGTAGTTCTTACGTGACTTTTGGAGTGGCATAAATCAGTGTCACAGTCTCAGTCTTTAACACTGAACCATTTAAGGTGCAACTGACCTCTTGTAGCACAGAGATATTTACTATTGACCAATCACTTAGCTAGTGACCAGTGTGTAATGCTCGTCTCGATTGCTTGTGTCGATTGGATTCTGTCAATCAATTTATTTCTTACGTTGACGATTTTACTAGATGACTTATCAGTTATTAAATAATTTTGCAACTTAAGATATCTTGATAGATCATGGCATGTGCAAGTGAACAAACTCGACGTTCTTTAATTCATATAAAAACATATTTGGATGTTTTATTGATATTGAAATATAAGAACCATACAATGAATACGTCATTTGCAAAATTCTATCATTTGTCCTTCAAATTCTACGTGATTCTTAAAAGTTACAATTCTCTTTTATTTCCGTTTCCGTTTTCTTCAAGTCAACCTTCATAGCCTTCTGCCACCATGAATTCCTCTTCCGATCGGTGTTACATACTACTTATATCTGTCAACGTAATTAGTATACATCGCAGTATGAGGTATCGATGATCCATTTTTAAAAAATATCCTTTAACTCTGTGATCAGCGAATTCTACAAAATCATTTTATGTCTGTCGATACCAAATTATTACAATGAGTTTTAAAAACATTTGCTAACAAGAATATGTTAAAAATAAACATTTTAGAAATACCAGTGAGAATTATATATTTCAGCCGCGGATACTTGAGATTTGAATATTAACAAATTTGTTAGCATAGAGAAATACAAATTTCTCTATTAGAATGAACCACTAATTTACAGTGAAATATGTCAATAACTTTTGGAACAGATTGTTTTCATTCGGAGTATCACGGAGAACCTCTGAATACCGAACATTTACGTCTTAGTATGAAATTCCTCAGCTGTAACCACTTACGACCACACCAGATGTAAAACAAACCAACTGCAGATCTCGCAACGAACGCTTAGTCGTTAAAAGTCAGCTTCCAATAATACAACTTAAATTGTAGTTAGTTTTTAATTCAATGCAACGTCCATTCAGTGACATTAGTGGCAAGTGTTTCATTCATTAAATATCTGAGCTCCACCAATCACGACTTCTTACTATAATTTTAAGGACGTCTTGAAGTAGCATTACTTACAAATGAAATTGATCTCTACCAAACTACAACAAATAGAGTACAGTAAGGTAGATGAATTCGAAAAGTTCTGACTACAAATATATATATATATATATATATATATATATATATATATATATATATTCTGTTTAGAAAGTGTAAGATATTCGGATCTTTTCATCTGAAATAAACATCTACTCATCAATTTTTGTATCATATTAATTTCGAAAATACTTTTCATAATGGACTGATTGTAGCTGAAACGATCTACACAAATTTTCAACTCTAATTAATAAGCGAACTAATTTAAGTAATTTCATTTATTTTCATTAACATTCAGATGGGTAAATTACAGTGTAGGTCTTGGAGTGAATAAACTACGTTATACAATTGATTCATTTAATTATAAACAGTTACATCTAAATGAAGTGTATGAGAAAGTTAAACAAACAAATTATACTGCTGTCAGTTCCATGAAATCTGTCAACTTTAATATTATACGTTCATTACCAAATATTTTAATTGATAAATACTTATTAAAAGTATGCATCATGGAACAGGTAAGCACTATTGTTAATTTTCAAAAGAACGTTTATTGTTAATGTGTTATTTACAAAATATTGACTCTTATAAGAAGTGAAAATTCTTTTTGAGACATTGTATTCGTTACCATAACCATAGAATGTTGAATATATTTATAGGAATACTGATATATGAAAACCAATCACAAAATCGATGAAATAAATATGAAGTACCATATTTCTCTACAAACATTGTACTTATTATAATCATAAGCTTATTGGTGGCTAATTTAGTGAGGTGATTTATGAAATTCTGGGAGGAACAATGATCGATGAAGTTTAACCATGTTGTATGAGAGGCAGTTACCCACTAATAGCACCAGAAGATGGTTGCGCAATGTTTAGAATTCATTAAAGTCAGACGTGCAAAAAATGGGTAAACGATACTGTGGTACAAAGGCTAAGCGCTTGTCGTGAGGCCTGAAGGCCGTGGTCTCAATACCTAGTAAAGTTCTCTTCTGTGACAAATAGCCATTCAGTGCTTCTTGGTTTCCAGTGGTAGCTTAACCGAGATCAACCAATGATGTGAAATGTGAAAATAACTACTTTTTAACGAAATTTAAGAGTGTTTGGGATTCGTTTATCAGAGAAACTAAATATGATGCAAAACGTAATTGGAAAAATGAAGAATAGCTAGTCAACGTCCTAAGAAATAATTCATAGAAGAAGGAATGTATTTTTCACCCGTTGGTTTTTAATAAAAATAACCATCGTAATTAAGATGAGGCTAATGGCACTACCAACATATCAATTTTATATTCAAACATATCTATACACAACCGGAAAACAACGAGGATTTTTTTCGTACTATTGCTTGAAACAATGTAAGAATCAATGTTTATTTTGCGTTAAATACGTTTACCATTCAAATCCCTTTATATATATAATTAGTATAGCATATATATAGCTCATAATAAATTTTAGGTTGAATCAGATAGTTAACTGAAATAAAAGGATCACAATATAATAGCCGGTTACTCATTTTCATTTTGATTAGACAACCATAGTTGAATATATATAAGAGCACGTATCTAGTAATTAAATGAGTTGTATTATTTTAAAGCAAACATATCTTTCAACAAACAGACAGTTAAAAAAATTACTTAAAACAACTAGTTCCGTGTACATTACTCATAAGAATGAACTCAAATTTATTGGTCTTAATTGTATGAGAAATCTCTATTTTTCATCATTCATTCTCAGACAGTTTGCAATTATAGCGAACAAACTGTCTTAACACTGACTTCATTTCATATGAAGAAATGTAAATATTCGATCGTTACTACGATTCGAATCCAACGTATTTGTCACTCTTCACTCTTATATACTTACACCCAGGAATTGATATTCATATTGATTTCTATCACTTAAAATCCGAGAGTTAATTTTTTTAAAATTACTTATCAACAAATGTTTGGACGTCCAAACAGTAATATATAAACTCAGAGAGTTACCAGCTGGATGGGTGATATTCATCATGAAGTCCTAAACCAAGATTTTGTGATAATAGATACTCGTTAGTATGGTAAACCTGCAGTTTAGGAGGACTGATGTTCGCTATCAGATTCGAAACCACCTCAATCAGTTTCATAGATTTTATGAAATGGCTAGTTATTTGAAGATACTATACAGCATCAACTGATTTTAGCTAGACAACCAATAAAAGTCAGGAAGCATTAACAATTGAACCTGGAACTTCTGATCTCTCATCTTTAGACAAGTGGTTTGATATCCATTCAAGAATATTTCTGAGCTGAGTTCATCCTCGATTTCTTGTCATCACTATTCGTTGTCGTCAATATCTCTTTCATTTCACTGAACACATACTTTCATTATAGCAACAAAATTGTTCTCCAAGCTGTTCATTAGTGAATGGCTTATTTTATTCTGTACTATTTAAAATTAACTTTGACAAATATTTCTCAGTTTCACGAACTTTAATTTTCGTCGGTGAACTATAGGGGGTTTTGAAAAAGTCAAAACAATAGTTATTTTTTGACGAAGTAGAAATTAGTCTGAAACAATCCTGTGCATTCCAAACTAATCATATTAAAAGAATCATGAAACGTTGAAGTCAGTTATGATTTCCCTGATACAACAGAAACTCAAAGTTTGTAACCAAATAAAGATATTATAAGTATAAATGGATGGTGGTTAGCAGTGAAGTTCAGATTGAGCCGTTCATCCTGTTTGAAACTCATCAGCCGAATGAGCCTGCATTGAACGGTCTATATTAACTCCGGGACTCAAACCCAGTGCCGTTCGCTTCAAACACCAATGCGCTATCCACTTAACTACTAAATCACACTGAGATATATTTCAAGTTTAAATAAACCCTATTATTATAAGTTGATTCGTCAAAATACTGACAGTGAAATTGTGATTAACGAAGAAGAAATCATTTCATAAATGAACTTGTAGGTTACTTTTTTCCTAAAACTAAAGATCACATGATTTTTGAACTGATCTTATGATTAATATCTATCAAGTAACTCATTTTTAGAGGTAACAGATTATAAACGCTTTATTAAATCAAAATCTACTCACGTCATCGTTATCGGTATTATTATTTCAGGCCACTAAACGTTGATGTGATAAATTTTAGCTCGTTTTGTTTATGCTGCGTGACAACATGAGAAAAGAGATTCACATATGCGCTTCTTTACGTCAATTGTGACTAATTCACATGTAAAGACTCTCTTAAAGTTTATGATTTTTGCCGAATGGTTTACTAGTTAACAAATTAACTTTTCCCCAAAAATTCATCTCGCGAAAACTAAATGAAAAAGTCTATCACAGAAGATCTGTTATCAATCCAGTATACCACCACTACTTATCAATTCACTTTACAAAAATACCCTGATAACATAGTTCTAATAAACAATTGGTGATTTCAAAGTTAAACAATGGATAGTTATGGGAACCAGAATGTGTGTTTTGTCCTACGTGGAACTAATCAGCTGAATATATAGAAAAAACAAACCCTTACAAATAAAATTCACACCACTGCACAAGCTAGTGGCTACCTGGATTGTGTAGCTTTGTAGATACCGTGTTGACATTTTAATAGAAAAGTACTAGATTCAAATCTGAATTTTTTTTAAAACTACTTCATGACTATTTAAGTAGCAATAGCATGCTTTTATTCTAACTGGAAATTCAAATATTTTTCCAAAAATTGGGTGATATTTTCACCACGATGGATTATATTAAACAAATTCATTTAAAATTATTTGTCAGTTGTGACGTTTTCCTCAGTGGACAGGAAGTATGATGTTTTCGTCAATATGCGAATGTCCTTGATCCTGTTTTAGGTGATATGACTTGACAAATTCTATTGAACATTTACTGAGATGAGAAAGGTTGACTTCTGAAATTCGATTCAACAGATCAACTCAAACGTATTCAAGATGAGATATAATGATTATAACCATGTTTTGTTATGATATCATCAAATCGACTCAAAATCGAGTTCTTAAATGAATGCAATTCTGGGAATTTTTATTTTCCAGCTAATACTATTTTGACAATTGACTTATCTTTAGTCCAATGGGTTTTCAATAATAACTACGCTTTATATGTGAAAAAATTGATTACCAAAGTATATTTATCACATTCTACCAGCGTTTTTTTTCTCTTCGATTATATTCTGCATAGTATATGTAGTAAATCACAGCCAAAATGTCTAATCGTCATAAAAAAATAGAACACATGATTGCAGAATTATAAATAATTGCAAATTAATTGATTTAACAAATCAATTAAATGTAATAAATTCATTACATTGTCAATCATTGAAACACACTGTTACTATTATCGCTTCTTGTCTGTATTCAAAAAGAACCTTTGTACTTCTATAAGTTCGTTAAACAACAGCATTTAAAGTAATATGATATACTGTGTTTAACATTATTCTTGTATTAACGAACAGGTCCTCTATCAATATCACTACAATCGTATGAATACATGCACACACAGACTCACATTCACACACTAACACAATCATAAAAAGATGTATTATTACAATACTGATTTGATCAAAATTACTATTTGACGACTGTTAGTTTTAGTTTATTTGTGAAAATGATTTGATAAACATTTGTTTAGCAAAATCATTATAAAAAAGTGCACTCATCTGAAGAACAATAGTTTTCTGTTTCACAGAACATCATGAAGTCATGAGCGGATTTTAATCCGAATATGTACGACAATAATCATATTATTATTTTTACGACTGAATTAACGAACTCTGAATAGTCGCTGAATATCTATAATCGATTAGTCAATGATTCATGATCACTCTCATGTTTTTTTCAGTCCTTTGTTGCTAGCTGAATCCTATCAATAAGTCATTAATGCAACGACTAGTCTATGTGACTCAACGCAGACACTAGTGACTACTCATCAAATAATCAGTTGGAAGCATATCAATCCTTCTCGAGGTCAGTGAAAGGCCGAACAGACTACTGATAATATCTCAGGCTTTAAACGCGAGTTCGAATCCGATAGACAACCTCATTTCCCTTAAGTGTCAAATAGGACCAAGATTTAATGTAAACTACATCCGACTTACTGTCATCTAAAATTAGTGGATATCAAATTCTTGAATGAAATGATCGAAGAGTAGTTCTTGTACAATTTTCATCTATAGAGCTGGTAAACATGAAAGAATATGTCATTTACTTTGTAACCATCAATTTAATACTTTTGTTTACCACAAAACTGGATATATAAAACAAAGTAATGTAGAAAATTGATTTTAAAGTGGTATTGTAACGTCGAGTTGTGTCTGGACTGTTAGTGGATTCCTACAATAAATATCCAGTACTGCCTCTTACTCTTAATGACTTTATAAATTTATATCAGTTTGCTTCGAATTCAATTTTAACAGGAAATCGGCCTTATGTAAGTTAGGTTTCGTACTTTAATCAAGAATAGTATAGATTAGAATTTCAGATCGAGTGAAAAAACTGAGACGGTTGAACCAACTCATTTACCAGAAATAAACAAACGTTCCTTCCTATGACTTACATTAGAAGTTGTACCGCCTTAGTTCCTTTACTGGAGTTCATGGACTAAATTTCAATCCTGTAACTTACAGAAAGCTAAACGCTATGACCACTGATTTACCTTATAACTTAGTTTCATGTAAACTTTTATTCAGTATTTAGTATAATGAGTTCTAATATTTTGTCGATCTTAAATTCATATAACCTTTTCAACTCCTTTTCCGCCGTTTGTTTTCAAGAACTGTCTTCATTGGATAGACCGATCTAGACCATGTGGATTACAAGACGTTCGAAATTTATTTAGACCGAAAGATTATCCATTAATAAGTAGATGGAATGAAGCAGGTGGCTGGTCATTGTTTCAGTCATATATTGAAACACTCTCTGATGGAAACTGTTCACCGTCCCAAAACAAGAACGGCAAAGGTAAGAATATTTAACATTTTCATCGGTTGTATGAACAAAAAGTCTCGTTGGAATTTCAGATTTCATTTGATACTGAACTATATTTCAGAAAGATGAATATTTAACTCATTAATCCCTTCTGATAGCCACAAATATGACTTGGCGAAACCAATCGTCCTCTCATTGATGACTAGTTTATTTTTACTCGTACTTTTGACAGTTACACATCCAAAACACATAGACCAACCACTAAGAATTACCAAGACTATGTTTGTCTTATCCTTAATACTGGTCAAATTATATCAAAGAAATCGTAGTATAGTGTTTGAAATCTTGAAAAATCTATTGTTTCTATTGATATTAAATGTAGTGTTATTGATTATCACAGACAAGGATGTTGGTAATGTGGCACCTAAGTTGTGACTGACATTTAGTATTGCTGCCAAACGGGAGGCGGATAGGGTACAGTTCGTTTATTACAAGTCATAAAACACAAAAAGTCTTCCTGTTCGTTCCCTCCAGATCTTATAACTAGTAATATTTAAGGACACATTAAGTTCCATGAAGTTTTTGGAACTTCTCCTTTCAGTGACTCTAGCACAACTTTAAAGCATAACCATCAAACAAATATTCGATGGTGTTACGTCCTTGATCTGTCTACCCACTTTTGGTGCTCAGGATAACCTGTCTAATCTGGATTAAGACCTTGACACGATAGGCTGACCGGCTTAACCTTGAGGCTAGTACGCGTGAGTTTGAAGTGGGATAGAGAGAAGAAAACTATTCTATCACCTGATTGGCTGACAAACACGCGGGTGAGGAAAGACAACTCAAGTGGAACACTACTCGATTTATTTTCAATTCCGATCTGGTTCCCGATTTCAGATCAGTGTAAAAACATACAGGAATAAATAGATGAATAACCCGACCACAACGTACAATAATTAGAAAAATACAATTATCACTAGTTGAAATCATGTATCAATTGAAGCTAGACGACCATGGAAAACCTGGAAGCTCCACGATCCCTCCCTCCGCGAGATTCGAACCCAGGACCTACCAATCTCGCACGCGAGCGTTTAACCATTAGACCAGTGAGCCGGCATCCGACGGCCATTCAGTGCTTCCAGGTTTTCCATGGTGGTCTAGCTCCAATTGACTCATCAATTTGACTAGTGAAATTTGGAAAATCTTCACAAAACCCCTTCTGATAAATACAATTATGTCCAAAACTGGAGATTACGTAGTCAATAAAGTACAAAATAATACATCTATATCACAATAGCTTTGGAATAAAAAGGACTATGGCAGTGAATTATACACCAAACGAAAGCTTATGATTTGTAGAATAGACTAGGGACCGAAATAAATGTTAATGTTTTATAATCTTTGAATTAAGTGAAATAACGTCATGAAAAATAGCTTTCATAGTTTGTTATGGCTTCTTGTTTCTCTGCTCACATCAGATAGAGATTTTATTATTATTATTATTATTATTATTATTATTATTATTATTATTATTATAAGCTTTATTCAACATTATATTTGTGGTACACTATTGAATTCTCAGCATAAAGTATTTCAACAAGTTTCTTTTTCTTATATCTTGATCGATCCTGACGATAAATATTGAGTGATGGCCAGTTAGATGTTAGGAGTTCGATAATCGACATTTGAATAATGTTCATTCGTTTCAATGCATATTGCAAGCCACCATGATGTCGCTGGTTGTACCTTTTTGTAATCGGTACAGCGAAAGGTTGTAAACTTTTCGTAAACGCGCCTGAATAGGTTGTGAGCTCAATAGACATAATAGTGTGTTAAAACAAACAAGAAAATAGATAACTTGACGAAATATCTAGATGGGAGGAACAGGTAGCCCAGGTATTCAAGCAGGCCGCCGATATAATTAAATATATTTTGAATTCTCCAAAGTAACAAGTAGTTCATTTAATATTCAAATGTTTATTTCACAACACAAACAATAAGCTCACTACATTGATCAACATTTTGAGTCACAAAATGAATAAATATGATTTTTAACTTTTGAAATAAAAATATTCGTCTGAACACATGAAATATTTCCTGCTTATTATAACCTAGTATTTTGCTTATAACTGTATGTAAAATACTAGCGTATTATTAGTTGATAGAAAGACAGAATATTTTCATGGTGAATCACAATTTCTGATTGTTTTTTCTATTTATACCTACACAATGAATGGAAAAATTTCTCAAATGAACGTTACAATAAAACGAAATATCAAATCCTCTTACTGTGCAAATGTAGTGACAACAGCTCAATATTTGAATAGTACTACACATAAGACTAAACAATTAACTCTTAACCAAAAATCCTTCCTTTTATAAAGAACAATGTAAAAGTAACTTTAAGTTTTATTTTAATAGCAGAGTGTGAATTCCATGCATGATGTAACAGATGTAAAATATGAGTTTTGCTATGTGAAATTTCATAGTGATGGAATGTTCACATTCATTCAGATAATGGTTAATTGATCTGATCACAACAAATAAAAAACCCACTTACACAGGAGGTTCTACTAACAAAATAATAATTATACTTATAACTTTATTTGTAATTGCATTTTTCAGCTGAAAATAGTATTAGCGTAGGTGTGGATTCGGATTACACTTGTAAGTTTACTTTAGACCATCTATATTGTTGTGAAATACCTATATTTGCAATGATGACTCATGATGGAGAGATAATGTCTGGTGCTAATTCTCCTTTTATTAAATAGTTGAAATATCAAAAAAGTTTTGAAACCAACCAATGTACCAAAATTCCAAAGTCGATAATTCTAAACAATAACAACCATTTCAATAAACTTGTGCCACTTGTATGTGGTGAATGAATATTCTATGACTAAAAATAGCCGAACAGGACTATAACCTTAAGCAAATAATACGATGAGGGAAAAATTGTTTCTCCAACTAACACTAAAATTTTTTTCAGGTAAGAGACTCACTGACTTAACTGAAATGTTTAAAACTTTTCTTTTGAAGTTAAAAGTGAAATAGGTGTGGCATAAAACTGGTATTTAAAAAGTTAACATTATAAGTCTAAGTACAAGCTAAGATATTTTCCGCTCACCAGTTAACGACTCTGCTTTATTACTGGTATAAATTGAGCAAGTATTCACAAATAATCTTCTGGTTTATTGTTTGGAAATATACATATTCTACCACTAATTACAAGTCAACAATATTTAACACATTAGGTTAAGAAAAGATATATGATCCGAATAATAATCCATCAAATTGAAATTTCATTTAAACATTAATGTGAGATCTCATATCTAAGTAATAGTTAATGTATAACTTTAACATATATCACTAATACACTATCAGTTGTGTGAATATTTGCTTTAAAGCTAAAGTGCTTTATAATTACAAAAGTCTACCACAAATAGGCCATTCATCCATTTCATGTCTGTGTAGTGGCTGTGCTTCGTTGACCAATCACCCTCGTAACCGTTATCGTATAAACCCCAACGGTAGTTGAAATCAGAAGGTAAAGAGAAGCAGCTACTACAGTTTTATTAGCAGGCAACTCAAACCACAGAGCAGAGAGGCGAATGAGTCAGCAAACCGTGATTGTGTGAGAATGTGGAAAAATGGTAGAGTGTTAAATATACATGTATATATATAGAAAAGTGATTGGACTATCGAATCGATTAAGCGAATAATAATAAGGTTAGTGGGATGAATATATGCGTGGGCAGTCAACAGTGTTCAAGCATGCTTATTCATACAAGCATAACAATAATAAAGATAGAATAAGTTGTTAAAGTACAGATAACCTTGTCCGTTTACTAGGTTAACAAAAGGGCTTAAACGAATTAGATGAGGGCAAACTCAATTGAACGTGAGTTGCTATAATAGCTCCCCCCTGCAAACAAAGATATATAGAAAAAAATGTCTGTGTTTGCACAAAAAATAGTAAACTGAATAGAGTAGTTACAATTGTTTGGAGAAAGTGCTTATACAAAATTAAGATGAAGCTAAATTTGTTGTGTATGTGGTTTGTGCTTGTCCGTGAGGCTATATAAAATAATAGTAGGGAATAGAAGGAAAGTGTTATCGTTTGTTTTTTTTTACATATAAGTGTAGGGTACATAATATATGCCTAGTTTTATAGTGTATAATACAGGCTTAATAATCTATATGTATACAATGAAGTGGAAGAGTTATAATTAATATTCAAAATAATAGTAAATTATCAATAGAAAATTGTAGCGATGTAGCGTTGAGGCCATCTTACTCTGCGGCCAGATCTCGTTGTTACTGGAGTCTCGCCTTTTTGCTGCGTTAGCGTCGTTGATTCTTGAGACTCGTGTTTCGTTGGTGTGACAATCTTCGAGGATTTTGTACTTGTTGACTGAATATCGCTATCGATGAAAGCTGGTTTCACTCTATCGATACTGATTACATCTGTTTTCCCAGCTTTTTCTATGGTAATCGTTTTATCTGTCCTCACTGTCACTTTAAACGGACCGTCGTAATTTGGTTGCAGGGGTGGTTGTACTTTATCTCTTCTAATGAATACATGAGTGCTTTTGTGTAGCTCCTGAGGTATGAATACCTGTCGTTGTTGAGGTCTGGGTGGTGTTGTTTTTAAATCGCTCATGTGCTTTTCAAGCGTTGTACGTAGTTGGCTACATCAGTCGGAACACATTTATTCGAAGTGAAAAATTCTCCGGGTAACCGTAGAGTAGTTCCGTATACCAACTCGGCTGGACAACATCCCATATCTTGTTTAATTGTTGCTCTTAAACCTAACATTACTAGAGGAAGCTTATTGGCCCAATCATTGTTTACAATGACGGATGTAAGAGATGCTTTTAGTTGCCTATGTAGACGTTCGACCATTCCGTTTGCCATTGGATGGTAAGATGTCGTTCGAATTCGTTTAATACCGAGGAGTTCTGTAAGCTGTTGAAAGAGTCGACTTTCGAATTGAGCTCCTCTATCAGTTGTGATGATCGCTGGTACGCCGT